GGGCGGGGCGCGCGGAGGGCCCGCCCCTCCCTCGCTGGGGCGGGGAAGTCACGCCCCCTCCTCAGAGGGGCGGGGCTTCGAGGCCTGCCCGGGGGGCGTTCCGCCGGGCTGGCAGGTGCCGCCACGTAGCATCGCGGAGTAGTGGGGCCGCGGGGACCTCAACATCCGGACAAACCCACGGCCTAAACCAGCCTTCCCAATCCGTGGTACGGTACCGCCAGTCTAGGCGGGCGGCCTGGCCGTGGTATGTTAACAGGTTTATTATCATTGCTTGCTGTGACAAAAAATGCTGGCGGTGCGTAAGGTCGCGCTGAAGAACGTGTGTCGTTTTCAATTCGTGGGGCGCAACCTGTCAGAGTTTGGCACCCGCTGCTCTAACCTCGATCCGACACCACGACGACCCTGCAGGCCGCAGGCCCGGCGCCCCACCTGCCTCAGGGGAAGCAGGGGAGCCAGGCAGAGCCTGCCGTCAGGCCTCTGTGCGGCCTCCCCCTGCCCAGAGCCGTGCTCCCAACCGGGGCGGATTTAGGAGTGTGAAAAGGGGGCGGAGGTGGGCCCAGACACCAAGGTGATCAAGGGCTTGCAAAGCAGGTGGTAGGAGGGGAGGCTGAAGGAGCCAGGGATGCTCAGCTTGCGGAAAAGGTGTTGGAGATGGGGCATGAGAGCCATCTGCAATCACCTGAAGGGCTGCTGTCGGGAAGAGGGAAAGCAACTCTTCTCTTTTGCTGCAGAGAGGAGGATGAAGACCGATGGCTTGAAGTTGCAGGAAAGTAAATGTAGATCGGATATCCAGAAAAACTCCCTGTTGGAACAGCGAGGCAGTGGAGCAGACTGCCTAGGGGAGTCATGCGCTCTCCATCACGGGGCGGCCAGGACGAGGCTGGACAGCCACTGCTCGGGGTTGATCTAGGCATTGTGATGCCTACGTCCCACCATGGGCATTTCCCAGGCTTCTGGGTTTTGCTGCTTGTCCCTGCTGCCCCCCTTTCTGCTACATATGTCAGGGTGTTTTTAGGCTTCCCTCAGGCACTGGTTGTTGGCTGCAGCCAAGGCTGGGGACTTTGACTGGGGTGTGCCAGTGCTCCTGCTGGGACCAAAGCTAGAGGTTCCTGGTGAGAGGGTCCTGCCTCTCCACCCAGGGTGAGACCGATGCTGTATTTGGGGTCAGGAAGGAATTTTACCCCCTGGTCATATTGGTGTGGACTGTGTGGGGTTTGCCTTTCTTTGTAACAGCATATATTGGCAACATTTCATAGAAGCTGGTCGTTGGCTGCTGTGGTTCCCTGGCTTCACCTGTGGCCAGTTAGGGTGCTAGGTCTGTATTATGTCAGGGTTGAGGGCAGTCTTGCATAGCGTTTAGATGATAGGTTGTATAGGACGGTTTGGATAAGGATGATCCTGCCTCAGGCAGGGGTTGAACTAGATGATTTCTGGAGGTCCCTTCCAGCCCTGCCTCTTTATGATCCTATGATGGTGTGATCACATATAAAATAACACCTTTTTTCCTCCAGGGAAAAATCAACTAGAAGTTTTGCTAATACTCTAGGGTCCTAGGGCTGTATTATTCAATTTAAGATTGAAGCCAAAACAAATGTCACTGATGCTGCTGTCTGTTCACTGCAATGCAGAGACAGGCGTGGGCTAAACCTGCCGGTTTGACTGCCTTGAATTCTGGAGTCATTCAAAATGTAAATCCGGAGCCAGAGCTGCATTTTGTAAATAGCTATGCAAATTTACAATGAGCAAAACTGATCTCCCAAGGCCAGTGCTTTGGAAGGGTAGAGCATGTGCAGGCCTTTGCTTCTCAAGCCCAGCTCTAAGTGTTAGGCATTTGAGGAAAGGTGTGAACATCGCTGGCAGACCCCGCTGTCTGCTCACTTCAGCCGTGGCTCAGCTGAGAGGCATTGTACAAATGCTGTAAGGGGCACTGCTCTGCCTTCCTAGGGACATTACCCAGTGGAGGCATGCAGGGAGACACTGCTAATCTGCTTTGCATAAGATACCAGCGGTTTCCAAACTGCCTTTCGAAATGCCCCCTGTGAGCCTTTCCCCCCTTGTCTCAAATACAGGCTGTCCTTTCCCAACGGTGCTTTCTTCTTAGCATTGCTTGTGGGGCTGCTGAATAGTGCCTTTCCATCCTGACTTTTCAGTCTCAACCCCCAGCTCACCACCCAACACCCCTTTCCACTTCGCCCTGTTCAGCCTGTTCCCAGACTGAGGGAGCAGGAGCCGGGAGCATAGCCTGCTTTGGCTTCTGTCCAGCTAGTGCTGGATCCAGAGCCTGAGACACTAAATCTGTGTTGAGCTGGGACTTTGACATGGCAGCGCAGTGTGACCAAGCCAAACAGCGAACAACCTTATTATAAATTGAATTACCTCATTGGCCTCTATGCCCCCCCCCCCCCTCACTCCCATCAATTCCAGCCCTGATTTATTATGGCAGGCAGAACAGTCAATGCATAGGGACACTGATTCGCAAAGACCATGGCAGGACCGGGCACAGCACTGAGCTTTTCTCACAGCAGTATCCAAGAGGTTACCATGAAGCAGACCACCCTCTGCACATACTCATGACAGACGGGAAAGTTTCCCATCGGCCTCTTCTGAGACTGGTAATGCTAATACAAAGAAAAAAACCTCCACTAACATTCATATTGCTCAGGCTTCATTCTAGTGGGGATAGCCAGGAATTGGGATTTGTTCCCATCCCTGTCTATGGGAAAATCAGGGGTTTGCCTCTAGCCACTCTGGGCTATTTGCTAAAAATTACTACTTTTCCAGCCTCGCTGCTGGTGGCAATGGTGGGCAAGGTTGTATAGATGCCTCCCTCTGGCATTTTGATCGTTGTGACCTGCTATCCTACTTTGAGCAAGGTTAGAGGAACTGGTACTTAAATTGGGACCTGCCACCCTGAAGATCTGGCTATCAGGTGTAGCTGAGATAGTGGAAAATGTCAGAGGCATAATCCAATGCAGACACAAGCTCACAGTCTCCCCATCCACCCCGTGGGGCTGGTGGCCCTTTGTAAGTGTGCTGCATTGCTACAAGTGCTTCTTTATCATTGCACTCGGTGGAATAAGATCGGCTGCTTTTCAGTGAGGTAGAGCGGGTGCTAGTCTGGGGTGTAGGAGACATGAGTATTGTTCTCGGCTTTGATGCTGACCTGCTATTGCACCATGAGGAAATTTTTGTGCCTCAGTTTCCCCTTCTGGCCTTTGTCAACCCTGACTTATAAAACTGCATGGGTGGGGGGGATTGGCTCTCACTGTATGTTTCCACTGTGTCTGCTGCAACAAGCCTGATCTTTGTTGGGGGCTGCCGACAGCACTGTCCCACAGCCCTTCAGGGAAGGGACCTTGTCCAATTTGCATTTTTCCTTCTGTCAGATGCCACATTCATCTCTGGTGCTGTATATACAATGCTAATATAATCCCAGCAGGGGTGAAGGCAGGGGGAATATTTTTCTAAGAAAGCCAGATTGTTTATGCTTTCCCATTTTTACAATACACATTGCCCTGATCCACTCTTTAATCATGGCCCTGGAGTAGGAAGGCATAAAAAAAGCTCTCTCTGCGGGCCTGTTTTGCATGGCATTGTTAGGGTCTGGGCGGGGAAGGACGGGGGCTTCACAAAGCCCCGAAGAAGTCTGAAAACCCAAGCCAAACAAACAGTAACCCAACCCCAAACTCATGGCTAAACACTGTTTCTGCAGCCTGGGGTTTTGATGATTTTTCTTCCTGGTCTGAGTTGATTGCACAGAAACTTCCCCTCAAGAGGCGGCTGGAAAGCCATCCAGGCAAGATCCCGATGAAAAGAAGAGCCTCTTTCTATGGGTGCCAACAGAGAGGAAACTCATTTTCCCCTCAGCCAGCTGCTCTCCCGTCTTGAGGTCTTGGAAGCGCCTGGGGATCAGGGCTGCAGACAGATGTTCAGGTCCCAGCCAGCCCAGCTGCTGCATTGCTGCCAGCTTACACCCCCCTCCCTATGCCAGCGAGTGCTGCACAATGACAGCAACAATAAGGGGTCTGTCTGCAGCAGGGCTCTCAGCAACGTGTCAGGAGTCTGTGGATCTCAACACCAACAGTGGCAGGACAAGGCTCCTAGTCTTCAGGGCTCCCTGTAAACTGATTACTGAAGCCCCTGGCCCTGTTTGCTGCAGGCCATTGAGTTGCTGGCAGTCTCAGCTGTATGCAGAACAGGACCCGGAGCCCAGGGGTCAGCGGGCCGGTGCCAACTGCACTCCATCCAGCTTGGCAGAGGGGATGCCTTTCTTTCTCTTCCATTGTTTCTTTGGAGTACAGCTCCCCAGGGAATATGCTGAACTCCAGCCACATGTCCACAGACTTCCTCTTCAGGCGTCTCTGCTCCTGGCTTCAAGGGAGAGGCTCTGGCACTGTCCTCACCCACAGCAGACAAGCATCCTGCAGGGGACCTGTTTCCATCCCTCAGCTCAGGGAAATCCTGCCAGTCTCTTCCTCCCCCTGCTCTTCCCCCCTTGCTGGCTTTGGTGGTAGGCTCTCCACAGTCTTCCCTGGGGAAACCTCACCC